GTTCCTACTATCTCATGACTCTAACCAGTGGAGAGTTTGACTGCGATACCTACTGATTCCAGTTTTGTTAGGGTTCCTTGACGCCACACTCAGTCAAGGACTGTCATTCTCACCTCACCTCTGGAATTCAGCTCTTTTGTCCATGTTTGAACCAAAGCTGTAATGAAGTCAGGAGTTGTTTAATAGCACTGTTGATGATACTATCCATCACTTTATTTAATGATCGAGAGTAGACTAGTAGGGCAGTAATTGGCTGGATTGGATTTGTCTTGCTTTTTGTGTGTACAGGACATACCTGCGCAATTTTCCACATTGTTGGGTAGATGCCAGTGTTGTAACTGCACTGTAACAACTTGGCTGGAACACGCTAAGTTCTAGAGCGCAAGTCTTCAGTACTATTGCCGGAATACTGTCAGATCCCACAGCAGTATCCAGTACCTCCAACTGTTTCTTGGTATCATGCGGAGTGAATTGAGTTGGCTGAAGACAGATCTATAATGCTGGGGACCACTGGAGGAGGCTGAGATAGATTATTTACTTGGTACTTCTGGCTGAAGATTGCTGCAAATGCTTGAGTCTTATTTTTGGCACTTGTTTGTTGGATTCTATCATTAAGGACAGGGATATTTGTAGAACCTTGGCCTCCTGTGAGTTGTTTAATTGTCCACCACCATTCACGATCGGATGTGGCAGGACTGCAGAGCTCAGATCTGATCTTCAGATTATGGGATCGCTTAGCTCTATCACTTGCTACTTATGCTGTTTGGCATGCAAGTAGTCCTGTTTAACATTCTGGGATATTTTGAGGGCTAACAGATATTTTAGGACATTTATGAGCCTTTCCCTAGTTACACTAAGCTCTTCTGAATCACTGTCGATTCCATTCCTAGCCCAAAATAGAACAATCCAGCAAATGACAGTGCCTTCTGCACAAAACAATTTGTTTTCTGCCTTGAAGCTTCCTCCTCTAAGTTTTGAAAAGGTCAAGGCACAGTGAGGAAAGGTTTTCAAAAAATTTGAAAATGCAGCATGGGTGTGTAAAAAGGTGCTTCGGAAAAGAGAGACTGATGCTCAAAACGTAGAAGCTGAATCAACAAAAGTGGAAAACAGATACATTCCTAACAAGAGAGTGCCAATAATACATCATAATCCATTTTGTTGAAACGAGTGAATGTATTAACTGTGGACGTCACTGTTGAAAAGCACAGATATCCTGAAGAAACTGCACAAATGGTTTCTTATGATAATGCATTTATTTGGAGACCGTTAAGGATAAGCTAAAATGATTAAATACAGAAAAAAAAAAATATACCATTAGATTTAATTTTTAAACTTGCTACCAAGAATCTTTTCTAATTCTCTGCTTTTCAAAACCCAACTAAAAGTTTCCAACCTTCAGTCAGTAACCTACAGCCACAATTGTGATCAGGTGTATGTTACAACTTCTGGGACAGACGAATACGATGAGTCAATAAAATGCTCCTATTAGGTAAAATAATGTTTTATGCACACAATACAGTAAAGTGAAACATGCATTAATTTTACCTGTCAGAGATTTGGGTTTTGCCGTCCAGCCGAAGATATCTGTGCTTATGGTGTCTCAAGAATACTTCTAGAATGTCCAACATCATAGTGAACTGGCTAAACAGGACAACTCTGGAACCCTAAAAGCAATATCAAATTAGAGATGTTGACACAAAATTGAATTAGAGCTGGAGCTTATTCATTTTATGACAGTATGCATGTCAGTTATCAGCATACACACACAGAGATTTGGTTTCTTTAGTAGCAGTATCCTATTCTGTTAGCCATAATTAGTGTGGAGAGTTAAGCATTATGGTGTGCAAAAATTTTTTTATTTTTAAAATATCCAAACAAATTGTGTTCAAACAGATGTTATAGATTTAAAATAGCACTGTATAAAGATTTAATTAATGAACTAATATAAATGGAACACTAGAGACTAGAAACACAACCAATAGTTTCCTGCGTTTAAAAGGGGCCTAAGGGGCAATTTTTTTCACACAGAGGGTGGTGCATGTATGGACTGAGCTGCCAGACGAAGTGGAGGAGGCTGGTACAATTACGACATTTAAAAGGCATCTGGATGGGTACATGAATAGGAAAGCTTGAGGGGGATATGGGCGTAATGTTAGTCAATGGGACTAGATTAATTTAGGATATCTGGTCGGTATGGACGAGTTGGACCAAAGGGTCTGTTGCCATGCTGATCATCTCCATGACTCTATTACTAACTAATCGGGTGGAGTACTTTTTCTCCCCCACAGTCCGATTGTAAACTTTCTGTGCAGACCATTAGCTTGTTCCATCGATGATATTCTTTTGCGATAAAGGGCAGAAAGAGAGCTCCTACAATTTATTTCCAAGCTTGGGATATTCTTAACACAAATCTTGAACACGAGATGTTGACAAACTCAGCATTAATATTTACTGAATGCATGCTTTGTCCAGATTACACAAGATAAAAACACAGCAACAGCATCTATCCATATATTGTTTCAAGCTTATCTCCAGGAGGTGGCTATCAACTGAAGTGAATAAGTTCTATTATAGTTGCTTGCAAAATTACCTCCTCCTTAAGTTCTGCAAGTATATTCTCCAAAATTTGGAACTTTCCGGAATCCAAGAGCAACTCCATTTCTAACTGAAAGCTTCTTATACTACTGTACTCTTGACACAAGTGGTGCAACTCAAAATCTGTCATCGCCTCCATGTCTTCAAAGATGAGATCAGGATTGGCATCTCTGTGAGTGGGCTCCTAAGGATGGATTGAATTAGCAGTAAAATGTTAATAAAAAGGTGGCTCACCTTCTGAATCTCAGTCATGTAACCTTCATAAACTCTCAAAGTACATCCTAGTTTTACCAGTTTGAATGACAGTTGAGCTCTGATCTCACCTTTAAAACTTGCCAAAGGAAGTGAATTTTGGTTTTAATTTTACCTTAAGACATTTAATTTGCCAATTTATAACAAAAAAATGCTGCACAAGATCTACTTATTTCTGTAGAAAGACTTTATTCAAAATTTATCCTCTTAACTTTGCTAGTAGTACTTATGGTTTCATTTTAAATCACAGAAATTATGAAGAATATTATAAAATTGTAGCAACTTTGGCTGCCATCAGAAATCTTACCTTTTTCATCAGCTTGGCCATTTTCCTCAGCTTTTCCACAGTGTAATACTGCCTATGAAGTAGAGGGTGGTTGGCCATCTTTCGAAGTTGCATCATCACATTGCATAACTCATTCTTTTCTAAGATATAAACATAAAAACATAAACTGTTCACTCATTGTTTAGGTTAGCATGCCTCAAACAATCTACCTTTTGGTAACTTAGTCGAACAACTTTTTACCCTTACCTTTTGCAAAGCTGGTAAGACTTACATTAAAACAAAGTAACATATTAATATAAACTACTTTGACTGTTCTTTGTTATAGGAGTTATGTGGCACGTTCCTTCAAGTTGTGATCTCACAGAATGATGCAAGTGACGTTCCTTAAAACCATCCACGTACAATGATCTTGAAGGTACATTATTCCATAGTACTCTATTGATGAATGTAGTAAGGAACAAAGTGCTAGCTACATGCAATAGATGCCAAGAATATGGATACAAACTTCCATATCTCACCTAAGATAGCATTTAACTTTTAATTGTAGAAAGTCTTGCGACTATGGCTGTACAAGAGTCTTTGATAAAAATCCAAGAGTAAATGAAGTTGAGTTTAAAATAAATTCTTCATCTATTTGCCAAGAAGAATTGTGCTTCATGATGAACACATATCATTTTAGTCTAAGTGGGAAGACTTTTTAAAAGCTTTTAACTAAAGTACCATGACAAAAGTACAACCTAAAAAATGAAGAATATGGCTAAATTGCACTTAATTAGGATGAACATACAACATAAAATTAGTCATCAACGGGTATAGAATGTACCATTACTGTTGATCGATCTCTTTAACTTCTTGTAGAGAGCAGCGTATGCCTGTTCTTGTTTATCAGACATTGAACATATCTCTACGCGGTCTTGTTTGGGTGGAAGCTGTTGTAAGACCTAAACAACAAATTTGTATACTTGAATGATGAGGAAAGAAGTTTCAAAACAAAAAAATAGGAATGGGAAAACAACATTGATATCTCATGGATATTTCGAATCTCTTCTTCCCATATTTGGGGTTCACACCAACTGTATTTGTACTTAGTTATACATGCTTTCCGAGCAAAAATAACATTTTGCTAAAATAAAGTGCCCTGTGTAAGATGTTTGATGTGGGTTAGTACAGGTATCCAAGCTTTTTTGTTTTGCAGGCTACAGACATTTAGCTGAATACACAAAACTATAATCTCATTGATATCTACAGATCTTGAATTTTGCTTAAGAGTATACCTATTGGTGAAACAACAGTATTTCTAAACTTTCAAAACTACACAATTCTGATAGGACAAAATGTCCAAAAAAAAAAGTGCAACTATGTTTCGAGGGTCAAAAGCTTGTGCACCAAGGGTCTACGATCAAATACTGAGTCAAGAACTATTACCAGCTGCAAATGCACTTGTGTCATCAGCAACAAAATGCAAGTTGACTGAAGACATATAGTCATTGCTGTTGCATTCCTATTGACAACAACAGATTTTCTATGTAAGGTTTCACTTCCTTTGAAGGCATTCAAAACTTGTAGCAGCTTGCATTCTGGGTTCTACAACTGGTTCTGACTTGACGAGGAGCTAGAAACATCTGTTACATCTGGCTGCTGATCTTTATTAAGGAACCTATGCTGTTAAGTTTTGAACAGCACACTTCAGATAAGAACAACTTGAAGCCCTTTACCAATAGCCTCACGCACTTGTTGCACTAAGCTTTTGTATTGAATACAAAAACTGCACCCCCCCTACTGACTGAACAAGAACTTAAAATCAAAAGGAAAAACCAAAAAAGGCTGCTGGCAGCTGAAAAAGGTTTTAAAAATACACAGACAAAATAGGTTGTTACCTCATTTGTTTGCTTCTGGCCATGGGAACATAAACACAAGTGACAGAAAAATGTTCTGTAAAATGAACTATTTCTTCTGGCAAAATAGATGCTTTGCACTATAACGTATGTTACTCAATTAGGTGATGCACCAAAAGGTAACATTTACCTTTCATTGCTCGAACAAAAATTGATATTCAAATGACAATGGCCCAAAAGATTCAGAACCAAACTGCATTGTTCTCACAAACGCAAAACACAGCAGATGTGAGAAGTCTGATAATAAAACGGGAATGCTAGAAATACCGAGGTCAGGCTGTGGATAGTGAAACAGAGTTCATGGCTCAGGTTGCAATTCTTCCATCAGAATTCTTATCTTTGGTTCCGAACTAAGTTCAAGAGGTACAAGTCCCACTCCAGCGTTTCAGTGGGGTTGGGGGAGCAGGAATTAATTGAATACCTTGTTGATGTTGGAGGGAGTTGACAGTCATTGTAATTTTGCTATTTACAGAAGTTTGCTGTGCAAAAATTAGTTAGCAGAATTCTTACATTACAGTCACTACATTTTAAAACACTTTCTCTGGTTGCAAAGCACTTTGAGATGTACAGGGGTCGTGAAACATGCTATATCAATGCAAATGGCCACCTTTTTTGTACTGATGCAAGGTCAGTGATCTGCAAAATTAACTTTTCCTCCGTGCTGATATTGTTTGGTCTCTTCATTGTTTCGAGAATTTTCAAAGCATATTTCAACTTTTCTTTAAAAAAAGTGTACTCATGAGGGATTGAAAGGAGCCCCCTGCAGGATAGCACAACCGCAAAAATTGACAGCATTAAAGGGTAATGCAATCACTATACACAATACGCTGACAACATTCTGCAATATGCAAAATGTGCGTCAAAACGCTTTTTTTTAAAAAACAGAAACATTGTTCAGATAAAATTTGGCAAGTCAGAAATGAATCAAGACACCAGATTGCAGGTAGAACTGCGTTACCTCACTCTTTACTCTCCTCAGGATAAATGGCTTCATGATCTTTTTGGCATGAGCAATCCTCCCTTTTTCAAAACTATTTTGCTGTTCCAAGATTTTCTACAAAGAAACAAGACAAACTATAGGATAAATACATCAAGAAAATAGAACAGTAGCTGTGTCAATGTATTTATCGAGTCAAACATAGCTGCACTTGAATCAAGGGTCAGAACTAAATATGAAAAACTGTATTATAAGAAAATAAATAAGTACATGAGTTATAAAAGACCATCTGTACTGAAAGTGAATAAAAACAATAATATTTTTAACTCACTGTTGAAACCATTAACTAGACTAGCTAGTATATACACAGCTCTGAATAGGTTAAGTTTTGTTTTTCAGTAGCAATAATCCCGCACAAAATGAGTGCAGCTACTGTTTCCAACAAAAACAGAAAATGCTGGAGAAGCATAGCAGGTCTGGCTGCATGTGTGGAGAGAGAAACAGTGTTAATGTTGAGTCCAAAGACATGTCTTCAAAACCGAAAGAGCTGCAAATTATGGTTTTTGTGCTCTTGGTAGAGGGAAGGAGCGACAGGAAAAGATCGTGAGAGCAAAAGAAAAAAGGGGGTGATGACGGTTGGAAAGGATGATTTGAGACGTAAAATAGGTCTGACAAGGAGAAAATAGGTCAGTTCTGCTGACAGCAGAGCCAACAAGACACACATCAGACAGGGAAGCAGGATTTGTAATCAAAATGGAGAATGAAGCTCATGCTCTGAAGTTATTGGGCTCAATGTGCTGATAATGGCACAGGGTGATCCTTTGAATGAAAGACTGGTGGGGTGGAAAGTGAAAATAAGGGGAGCCTTGTCATTGTGCTGAACGTGAGGAGGAAAGAGGTGAGGGCAGAAGTGTGGGAAATGAGTCAGACATGACTGAGGGCCCTGGCAACCATGGTTGGAGGAATCCTTGGTTAATGAAGAACATGTTAGAGGTACTCCTGTGTAAGGTAACCTCATTGGTACAGATGTAACAGAGACAGAGAAACTGGGAGAATGGAATTGAGCAGGATGGGAGGAAGTGTGGTTAAGCTTACCATGGAAGTTGTTGGGTTTATAGTGGATATAGGTGAGCAGCCTAGCCCTAGAATTAGAAACAGTGAAATCAGAGGACGGGAAATGGACCAAGTGTTAATGAGAGAATAAAGGAAATTGAAAAAAAAATTAGCAATTTTGCTAATTATGGGCAATTGCAGGAAACAGCACCGATGACATTACTGATCCATCAGTGAAGGAGTTGTGGGAGGCATTGTAGAAACAACTTAGACATATTGCTGGAAAAGATCTGAAGCATTTCAGGTACACTTTAAAACAACTGCCTTCACAAAGGATTACACAAGTGCAAGTATTCTGAAATTTCAGTGTAGGAAACAGAGTCTTCACTGAATGCTGGACTGGAACATTTTACAGGCCTGTAACAGAAAACTCATCTGTTACCAAAGAAATGACTTTTTCCACTTCTGTCAGAAAAGTGCCAACTTGTACTTATATTAATGTTGGAACAATACTGACTGAATCACCTCCACCGATAGTTTACAATTCACCTGTAATAACAGCAAATTTGCCGAGTTTACTTTGATGTGCGTGATACTACTAGCAAAGTACCAGCCTCAAAATGATGCAGATTTTCATTTTGTTTCTAAAATAAGTTGAGTTTTCAAACAGCAAACATAAACAGAGATAGAAACTCTGAACTCATTATCATTGAATTGCTCTAGCCAACAAATGCCTTATTTTAAAAATAAATCAATTGTACACCTATCAACACAGCTATTCTTTAAAACATTTAGTGCTTACTGTTTTAGATGAAAACATTCTGCGAATCTCACTAGTACTACTGCTGAACATGTTTGGCATAACAAAATTCAACAGAGACATCAATTCTAGGAGATTATTCTGCAGTGGAGTCCCAGTCAACAGCAAGCGATGTTCAGCCTGTTAATTAAAACAAACTGATCATAACATCAAACTTCTACAGATTACTCTCCACTCAAAAGTATCCTTATTCAATACATTCACATACTGAAAAAACTATTACAAGAAATGAAATTGTTCCATGGCAGTAAATATTTAGGATTACAACGGGTATTGGACTAATAGAAAACAATGAGCAATGAGCTGTGTTAGACTAACAAATAAAACAAGAGTCTGTAGATTTAGTAGTCCTTTAAATGTTTTCAAGCTTACATTAAATGTCATAAGATGCTGATATCGAATGGAACTCATATTTTTCAGCATGTGTCCTTCATCAAAAACTGCATAATGGAGCTTTAAACGTCGAAAGAGACTACGGTCATCTGCATTACTTATTGAGCAGCTATACCTGTTGATTAAAGCAACAAACAGATTGCATAACTTTGCTGTTTGAGTTTAAAGTGACAAACTATTCAATAGTGATTTTTAGGATTTCAAAAATTCCTTCATGAATGATTCTGATTGAGTTTGTTTTTTTTCAAAACTCACCCAGATCTTTTCAATGATTAGCAGAAACTGGACAAAATGGGGATTGTGGGACTTTATACCAGCATGACAATCCAATAAATTTTTCTGCTGCAGTACCAAGTATTTGGAATGGTTAAGAAGTAATTAGAATATAGACATGAAATCAAAACTTCAGTTATCAATGAATTTGCAGTGAATGCTGAATATTTTAATGTTGTAGGGCCTCAACACCACTTGAGGGAGCACCGATCCAGGAGTTTTATACCAGCTTGAGCAATGGCAGTGACACACTGTACTCCCTCTTGTGGCAAAGAGTGAGTGCAACATGAAAATGCTCAACTTTGCATACTTGTTTTAAAAAGTGAGTACACATTTTGTGTTTCTATGTTCATCTGCAAACACTTGCACACACCAAACTTCAATGTCCACATATATAACCATGGGCTAGTAGGTTTTCTGCATTATTCAATCACAAATGTCTGTTGAAATGGTGCTCACAACAGAAATTCCGTAACTTACGTAGTCACGATTACATTGAAATCCACAAACTTGTGAAGTATATCAGATCTTAGGACTTTCCGGTCTTCTAAAGATCCTAAACAGCAAAAGCATCAAATCCATAATTACTTTTAAAAAAAAAAGGGGAGTAACTGGTACTTTCCCTAATGAAATTAAACAGTTAAATGTTGCATTAACATGGGGAATAGTATTATATGTGTATCTGTCATAATATTTGATTCCATTTGTCAGCAATTATAAGACCAAAAGATACTGGAGCAGAATTAGGCCATTCGGCCCACTGGGTTTACTTCACCATTCCATCATAGCTGATGTGTTTCCCAACCCCATTCTCCTGCTATTGCCCCAAAACCCTTGATCCCCTTACTAATCAAGAACCTAAGACAACAAGGTGCAGAGCTGGATGAACACAGCAGGCCAAGCAGCATCATAGGAGCAGAAAGGCTGACGTTT